ATGTTCTGTGTATATTTTTTCACGTTTCAGATATCCAATATATATTTTATAGTTTATGCATTAGCACCAAAGTGTTATTCCTGGCACGTGTAATTTATATGGCAATTGATGTTCTGTAGCTTATTCTATCAGCGTAAGTAATCTTAAGTATGAAAGCGTGATCTTTAGTTATCTATGTGTTTCAAACGAAAATACTCTTTAACGTTGTTTCTTTTTCCGTTGAATATGTATAAATATGTATTTAACATATGCATATAATATCCCTAGTTTTTTTGTGTCGTATGTAAGAGTGAAATAGGATTTTTAATCATTGTTATGTACTTGTGCCATCTGCTTAAGAGATTTTTCAAAGTACAAGCTGTTACATGTATGTATGCGTGGAAAGCTGGCAGAAATTGTGCAGCCATTAGTGTTTGATTGTAAATTTGAAACGTGTAGAATCTTAGAAGCGACATACGGACTTTGATAGTTAGTTGAAACGATTCGCTTGATTAAGGAATATTTACCGTACCTTTAGGTACACAAGGGAAACTTAACCACTCTAAAAGAGAATGAGCGAGAAATAAAAGTGGAATCGCAGAGCCAGCCAAAGCCCGTGTCGATCACTGCGCCGAAAGCTTATGTGAAAGGTCAAGGAATAATCGAGAAGGAGATGTCGCCAGAGAACGAACTGGAGAAACTAGAAGAGCCGAGGAAAGCGGAAACCGAAGAGGATAAGAGCAAGGTTCAAAACGGAGGACAAACTATCCCGCCGAAGCCTTTGCCGAGAACATCTCGAACTAATAGCATTTCCGAGGATGAACCGAAGCCAGTTGCACGTCCGCGTTCTTCTCCGAATCCGGGCTCAGTAGTTACATCTGTGAATCCTAATGCGATTGGGGGATACAAGGTTGTAAACAGGCTATAAAAAGAACTTAATAGTCTTAAGAAAAAAAATGTTCTACTTCTGTATGTGCGATGATATCGTGTGCAGCAATTTTTCATACCTCAGTTTTGGCATATCTCATTAGAATCATTGCGAATCATACTACCGATAGAAAGTTGTTCATTGTTAGTAATTTGTAATATTTTTCATGCTTTTAGCCTCGACTTGGACCAAAGCCGTTCCAAGCGAAATCAGGTAGTCAAGAATTTTCCTTCGATAAAATCTTCTCGGTGCCCATTGCGCCAAACAGCGACACTAACGGTTATCAGAACGATATAAACAGTCAGATAGAGAATAACGTAGAACCAGAAAAGTCCCCGCCGTATAACGAACGCATGAAAGAAAGTGAGAATGGAAAGAGCGACTCTAGCTCGCTGGAAGAAGACGCGAACTCCAGCGATTCAGGCTACAAGCCTAAAACACCGAGCACCGCGGAAAGACGTAAAGTCTTCGAGATCAAAGTCAAAGACGAATCACCCGAGAACGAAGACTTAGGCAGCTTCGAACGAAGTAATGCCAACAGGAATTCCATTGCTGAGAGACGTCGACTATACGAAAGTCGTTCCGTTTCTGTGACTGACGGCAATTTGGCAGAGAAGGCAATGGGTTCACCTACAATGTTGAGACGTCGAGATTCCTTCAAAACAAAGAGTGAAGTGATCAAAGAAGACGAAGTCAAGAAAGTTATACCTATGTTGCGCCAACAGAGCATGGACCCTAGGCTGGAGAAAATAGACAACGCGACACCAACTGCTAAAAGAACATCCACCGTATTTGGTACGACACAATATGCAGATTGAAATAATCTTTTGTTGTTTTTCTGCATTTTTACTGATAGTATATTTCATCACGAACACACAGGTAGAGTATCAAAGTTTCGACATTTGAAAGGTACCCCTGGACACAAATCTACACACATAGAAAACATAAGGAACATTAGCAGGCAAATATCTGGAGAATGCGACGGCTTTCATGGTAAGATGTTACAGTATTTATCTAGACTTTCATCTAGTCTTTTTCGAACAGATTTCGATTCTAACAGCGTTTACTTGTATGCAGCTAATCCAGACCGTGTCGCTGTGCCATTAAGTGGTCCAGGTGGAAAAATAGCTGTTTTGGAACTGAAAAAAACCGGTAGGCTACCTGATGGCGTAATGCCAGCTTTGGTACACGGTACCACGGTTATGGATTTCCAGTGGAATCCATTCGATAATCAACGACTCGCAGTTGGTACGAACATCAATACCAAATTATTGTATTGTTCATTTAAGTAATTAAATTAATGAAAAATTTGTTTGCAGCCTGCGACGATGGAATGATTCGACTATGGGAGATCCCAGAGTCTGGATTATCGGAACCAACAAATGAGCCAAAACACATGATCAAAGCTCATACCGACAAAATATATTTAATTAAATTTCATCCATTAGCATTGGACGTTCTAGCATCAGCATCCTATGATATGACCGTGAAAATTTGGGACTTATCCTCGCTTTCACTGAGCGAGACAGCTGTTGCAAAGATAACATTGGTCGGCCATACCGATCAAATTTTCAGTTTAGCATGGTCACCCTGCGGTCAGTATCTGGCCAGTGCGTGCAAGGATGGAAAACTGCGAATTTATAAGCCAAGATCTAGCGATTCGCCAGTGAAATCTGGGAAAGGACCAGTTGGTACGAGAGGTGCACGAGTAGTTTGGGCATTGAAGGGACAGTTTTTGGTTGTGATGGGTTTCGATAAGTACGTTAACTTTAAAAAACACGAGTTGCCACGATAACATCTAGCAAATTCTGATTGTGTATGGTTTATTTTAGAGTATCAGAGAGGCAAATATACGTATTTAAAACAGATAATCTTAACAATCCATTAACCACAGTTGGGCTAGACGTATCACCTGCTATTTTAATGCCATTCTATGATGCAGACAGCTCGACCCTTTTCTTAACAGGACGTGTAAGTATTATTGTCCTGTGTTCCTTGATCTCTGCTAGGTATAGTCAAGAAATTTCTTAACCTGATAGGAAATATGATTTTAGGGGGACACTACAATATATGCTTTTGAGGTAACAGAAGAACCACCCTATTGCTGCCCACTCAGTCATCATCGATGTAGCAGTTTACATCAAGGATTGTCTTTTCTTCCCAAAAATAAGTGCGATGTTGCCAGTGTAGAGTTCGCGTCTGCTTTAAGACTAACAAACAACACGATAGAGCCTTTAAGTTTCACAGTACCCCGCATAAAGGTATCTTCAGTATATGCTTAATCAAAAATTTTAACAGGAAACAAGGAACGTTCATTTAAATGTCATTTTTTTCAGAGTGAACTTTTCCAAGACGATTTGTTCCCACCAACAAAAGTAACATGGAAACACACCATGACTGCTACCGAATGGTTCAGTGGTGTTAACAAACAAGCTTGCAGAATAAGTCTGAAACCACCGGGCATGGACAACTGTGAGTTTGTCGGAGTAACGATAGAAATCTGTTCACAAGCCAGGTTCATAACGATTTCTAATATTTATATTCATACGTGCAGTAACTGAGAATCAAGGCCAAGGGGTAGTAACAGCACCAGTTGCTGCAAAACATTCAACAACCCCATTCTCTGTGTCCGCACAGCCCTTTACTAGACTTGGATGGAATCCTGACGTGAAAGCTAAACAAGAAGAGGTAAAGTACATGTTTTATGCAAATTTGTACCTGTCTTTAGATTTGTTTAATTTATATCTGCATGATAGATCCAAAAAACTATGAGCAACTTTGTGGGAGACGTAATACAGTGCTCATTGGAGCAAGATCACATGGAAGGTGTAGAGGAGCATGAATGGGTAGGTTGGTTACAATAACTGTACAAAATGAACACATGGCCCACAGTATAATATCATTTATTTCGAGTCAAAACACTAATAAATTTTCCATTCTTTTTAATAAGCAATCTTAATTGTAGGACGAGTGAAGATGACGCAGTAGTAGGTCGTTTAAATAAAATCGGTAAGATAAAATGAATCTATACGTAGCTGAATAAGCCGTAATTTATTTCTAAGTTAAAAGCCACGGGCGAAGCGAAAAATACTTTGATATTAATGTGTACACGGTAAGAGATACTTACGATTGGAATGAACATTTCCAAAACCTCCCCCAGTTTCGAAAGAGATAACGGTATGTGTGCAGTTTCTTGAATGTTGAAAAATTTTCGACCTTATAACCAATTTTTTTTCAACATTTCTTCAAGTTTGGAAATATCTCTGTAAAAAATGGATAGCCGATCATCTTTATCACGAACAAGTTCTGTCTGCTGCCGTAAGTACGATTTACTCGGCATTCAAAATGATTATGTAGAATAACTATCAATCAATAGCAGTTGTACTGGAGATATGGAATAACGAATACTTTTGAAAAACTATCGAAATACGAAAATAGTTTCTTTTCCATACTTAAGGGGTGTCGTATTTTACGAATTACTGAATGATCTTTAAAAAAAACTTTGTAGTACAGGATCGGGTTGATTGAATGGGGGCAAATGTATTGAATTATTTCTCTTTTCGTTCGTCAAGACATGCTTTAGAATGTATTATTTATTGTGGAAAAGCGTACAAAGCGTACGTGCCATTTATTATCCATGAAGGAAAACGGAAACTGCTATAGTATATGTATTATTAACCAGAAATGGGCATTGTTTGGTTGTATACCCAATCAATTATTTGTTGTGCTAATTGCATTAATTACATAGGATTTCTCTGTGTTCTTTTTCTCCTTGTTAGGGATACAGTCGTACGCAAATGGGAAAAAAACTTAACATAGACAAGAGATTAGACAAAATTGCTGTCGATCATTATTTATACATTTGTATGTGGCCAAACATTGCTCACTTCTACTGTTAAATAATAGTGTTTATGATTTATAAAAATCAGTTTCGATGAAATAGTGTAATACAATTTATACATATATATAGATATATACATACACATTTGTTAGTGCCACGTATTTTTTCTTTGAACGACAGAGCATCATCAATGATAACTTATTAGACTTATACATTATCATAATGTAATCTTCATACGTGTGATATTAGCGAGCAACACATTTTTCATTAACGAGGGAAAGAAAGGAGTTTCTACAATAATTCATAATAACCACACGCACATGCCATACAAGATAAAAAAAAAAGTAATAGATAGAAACGTACACTATATTAAACTGTGAGTCAAGATGCAAGTTACACGGTGCAATATACAGGATATTCCGGATCGAAACCGACGAACTTCGCTAACATATTTGCAGAGTTTGTCGGTTTTGATCTGGGACGCTCTGTATAATGTGATGACTGATTCAGCATTTTCCAGACTCGAATGTAGCGAATGAAACAAACTTTTATACTCTTCAAATTGTCTTAAGGTATTTGTAAAAAAAGAAAGAAAGAAAAAGAGGAGCGACACGGATTCTTAATTTATTATACGTCTGCGAGTGTAACATTGAAATGCGAATTCTATGTTTACCGAAGAGTAGGGAACGACGGTGGTTTAGATGGAACATTTCTGATTGAAAGATGCATATTTTTTCTATCCGATGTACCATAAAACTTCAGTATTTCGCTACCTATATGAAACTAATTTCCCATTTTCATAGAATGCAATTGATTATAACAAATTTTGTACAAATATATTCTACTCGTATACGTTTAGATAGAATATTCATTAATGCGATAAACATAGTCTAATTATCTGTGATTATAGTTTCTTGTAACTGTTAAGAATATGCTAGTGTTCCTAGTTGTGTGATCGAAATCCGTTTTGTACGGATGGACGTTCCCTCCGCTTTGGTAAGCAAATTCCAAACGTGTTTGAACCACGCACACTTTATACTTTTATATATTTCGTCATCATAGTTCAGTATCTTTGTATGAAAAATTGACCAAATGGTGCTATGCCCTCTTAATAAGTCCTAGGATACGTAGTCGCCAATGAAAGTAAAATCACATGAATTTTCACGCTGAAAACACATGATTAGTGATGAGATCAAGACACATTGTAATCGCTATTCATATTATTCGTTTGGTTACACACACAATTATGTTTGAAATGTACACGAATGTTAAATCTATACATATCAATTGCACTGAACTTTTTGTTTGTTTATTTCTTTTCATTTAACAGTAGCCAGCACTATTGGTCAAAGTAATATTTTATTGTATAATGAGAGAAGAAATGAAATCCGGAAATTTCATTAAGCAGTTCAAAACAGAATAATTTGGTGCTATAAAGTACATTCCTGAAATTAAGTAATTATTCTGAATCTCATCACTAGATACAGATCATCGCGCATTTCATTCAATAGTCCAACGTAACATTCCTATTTTACATTCTATCATTTTGTCAGCACATTAAATCACAGTAAATCACACTACGTCGCAAGTGAAGAAAGTGTTGAACAGATTTATAGGTACGAAGTCAACACCAAAGGCATATGTATTAAGTTCCCTGCACATTGAGTAATACACTTCCAAGCACTATATTCAGAACATTGTGCACATTTTTTCTGTATACTGATCACATAGCTTTTTCCAATGTTTTGTACGCATCGGAAGTAGAAAGAGGAACAAAGTAATACTTCGCTACAAAAAAGAAAAGAAATAGCTGTAATTCGCGTCGTCCATACTATCATTCGAATTTGAATGTGTAACTAATTATCTGTCGGTCATTATAGAATTGAAAACATTATTAGTGCATATTATCGTTACCTTACTCATTTCTTTTCATGATTATGTTCTCTCCAATTATGCACATGACTGCTTCTTTGAAAGCAATCCGACAAAATAGTATCGCTACTACAAATTGCTTATAGTGTTAGGTTCTTTTCTGTTGTTCTTTGACAGTGAACAAGATTGCAATGGTCAAAATTAAATGAAAAAGGATAAGGGAAAATGATCTTCAACTTACAATATGTCTTAATAAGATTATGTTATATGCTACTTTACACAGTAAGTTCTTTTTAACTGCAACAATAGGTTTGCAGTCACTCCCGATAATTGTATGCGATGTGTTTGTAGCACACAATTTTAAAATCCCAAGAAAACTGATTTGAATTACAACAAATTCCTTGCTATTTGATATTGCGCTATGACTGATTGCAAAGTAAGTTTACCATAATAATAGCATAACTTTGTATCGACCTTATACCTTTTACATGTATTTCATCTATAAAACCTTTTTATCAAAGATATGTATATAAATATATATACATATATATGTATGTAAATGTACAAATATATGTATATATAATTGTATATGTAGTATACATATATTATTTCACCCGTCTTTTATATTTACAAACTGGTAGAAATTTTTATGTAGCTATACAGAATCTAGTATATATTGTTTATAAAACTTTTAAATAAAACATCGGCAGTGTTTCCGTCGGCCTACCGACAAAATATTTCATCGAATACGAAAAAATCGTTGCGTGATGCATTAATTAATAAAAAGTATAATATCTTACAAAAATAATTTATATGAGTGAACAGTTTAAAAGAGAAAGGCATTTTATTTCATAAGAATTTCTGTAAATCATCCACATTATCCAACACGATCTCGCGGAATTAATCTCAATTCGCATCCATGTTTCAGAAAAACGTTTCCTAAAATCAGATCAGTTAGTTAATCATTGCCATACTTTTTTTTAGTCCTTCAGTCAGTATCTTGCATGCTTACCTGCTGTTTGCTGCGGATTAATACCTATTCCATCATCTGTAATTATTGCGGATGTGGATGGTGAAACTTTAAATTCTTCAGCAATAAATTTTAATACAGCAGTGAAAGGAGTGTTATTTGGCACGCTGAGTCTACAATTGCAAATACATAATATTTTTATTATATTACTTTATGCAAATGACATGACTCTGAGTCATTATCAATTAAGCATGCATAAGGATTATGCTATTACCATCCGATAGATTTTTCAACTTTATTCCATATTGTACCATTGGGATGTGCTTTAACTAATTGCATTCTGTTATATATCTTTTCTGAGATTTTATTAGGACCATTTAGCAATATTCTCACTACCTTGAGAAGGTGTTCATATTCAAAACCACATGTTCCATGAGTGTGGACTTCTGTCATATGACGTGCAAAATAAAATATAGCATCAAGAAAATTGGCATACAGCCCTGCATTACTTTCCATTAGTGACCAAAGAGATTTCTTATCGAGATTCGCAAATGCTATGCAAACTTTTGCATCATTTTCCGTAAGTTTGTTGGATAATTGTTGAACTATCAAGTGTAAAATTTTGCTGTTGTTGTATGAATTAACAGCAAATCGAATTAATTCTAAATGAAAACCATCATCAAACATTTTTCCTATACACTCTGAAATTTCGTGTTTATTGTTACTGCTAAGCTGTAATTCCCAAGATAAGATCAAAGCTTCGTTCTTCATATCAGAGATTGATACTCCTAGCTTTTGTAATGAGTCTACGACGATGTTAGTAGAAACTCCATTAATTACAATACTTCTAAGGGAAGCATTTAGTCTGTCGGAACCGCAATATTCAGTATATAATCTCAGAAATTCATCTATAGTATCTGTTGAAACAGTTGGATCTTTTAAACAAACTTCTAATAATTTATCACAGGCATATTTGAAGTCCAAGCATTTATATGAATTAAAATTATTCTCTTTTAGCCAATGATTATGCAGATGACACTCGAGAACATTTTCCTTACCAATTTCAATTACATTAGCAATTGTAGATTCGATAAATAGAGCACAGTGGAATGCTTTAGTAACATTGTTGACATTTAGATCTTGTCTTACAGCAGGATTCTTTAAGAGGGCAAGGAATATATCAAACATATTAAATACCTCGGAAATATCTAACTCCGACATGATATAAAGCATACATCCGTCAGTCCACTTAATTGATAATGAATCATTAAGTATAGAGAACTTACACTTTAAATGGTAGTTTTGGGTCAGAAGTAAGAGTTATTTTAAAAGTAACTTTGGACCTGAAACAAAATGATATTATCGTCGGTGACCGTAGAAAATTGCAGCTAAGTGAAACGACAAATAATACTCAAACATATGTTTGGTAAAATTAGTATACAGTTTAAAAATTCGTGTATTGTTCCATATGAATATGATTTTCTTCCGTTGTTTCTGAAGTCCTTCAATTACATAAGGTACTTACGTCATATTTTCTTTATAAATACTCTGATGAAAAGCAACAATATGATTTTCAATGAAATAATTATTTGAAACGGAAATAACCTCAATTTGATTTCAACAAACTTGATATCGAATCGTTGACAGCTGTTAACAGCGTACTCTTTCGATTCGTTTCGATAATGTTTGTCTACAAGTTTCAGCGTTTCGCCACCCGGTGACGCCACCGTGATGTTACGAAGCGTAACGTAGTGTACCATACCTTCCGTTTCCGTTGTATTCCCAGGACCGCGTAGTTTGTTTCAGTTCGACTACTATTTGTCCGACCGCGAAAACGAAAGTACCTTCGTACGTTCTACCAAGAGTTGTGCAGTTGTTCGAGTGAAAAAGATTTTCAATCGTGTCGCATTTTCCTTGAGAAACGCTGCACTTAGTATTTAATCAATTAAAAATCGCGACCGTTTCGTGGTCGCGTTTGTTCAGACTACGAAGTAAATAAGGCTGTTTCTTCTAAATGCGTAGTAGCTTTATCGAAGGGATGCGTAATTTTTGCGAACGAGGAGTTATCAACCGAGTTGAACGGCTGTAATTATTTCTCCCTCCGCCAAAGGCACGTCGCTTTTGCACATTGGTATAATGTATGCCATCATCGTTATCATGTTGTGTTTTATCACGATTTTGAATTGACAAGTAGGTGTTAGGTTATAATAAGGTTGTATTTATCATTTTCGAAAAATGAGTGTGCGTACATAACATTTATCGCTCTCTCTCTCTCTGTCTCTCTCTAATGGAAAAATTTGCGCGTAAATTACATTTTACAAATTACATTACACAAAGTATGATCGAGTGCCTCATAATATTGGTGTTTTGCATTGAATTTATCATAGTATTACTAACCGCTGGTTATCGATAAACTCTATTTGATTAATCATCAGTAATAAGATGAATGCTTTCGAAACTGATATGTTTGCTCTGAGTGATGAGGAATTACCTGTAGAGACTCCAAAATACAATCCTATTGAAGCGCATTTAATGAAACAATATTCCGATGTGAAAGCACGAATTGAAAAGATAAATGACGACATCAAAGAAGTTCATGATACGACGGGACGCATTCAAAAACGTTTGCAAGATCAAGCTCAGTATGGAGAAAATGCAACCTCGGATTCTGACAGTGACGTATGTAATTTATGATACTGTAATACATGATAAGAAGTGCATATTATTTTGTAATAGTTTAATTAATTAAGATTCGTGTTAATGTTTTGTAGTTGTACACCATCGTTGGACAACCAGTTGTGAAAAAAAAACAACAAGGTACAAGGAGACACAGCCAAGTTTTAATTGTACAAAGCAGTTGGAAACGCATTCTTTGGAATAAATGGGTCATTGGTATAGTTCTGCAAAATACGTCGACACAGTAAGTACATTGTACCAACTATGTCATTACAAGTTTTTTTTATGAACCATGATCAATAAGAATGATAATAAAACATCGGTAATTAGTATTCATTTGCCTTTTAGTTGAATTGAACATAGGATATTCAGTTTTAATATGTTTGAAAAAATTATTTGATGCTTTAGCTTGATCAAGTAATTAAATTTAATGATAAGAAAGTAAGCATTTCCTATAAGTAAAATTAATCTTCCATGTAGACTGCTTCTCGTAAATTGCTTTTATTTCTTAAAATAATTATTGTCATTTTGTACTAATGGTTTATAAAATTGTAAAGGATCAAAGTCTTTCATGCAACATTCGCATTTGTTAGTATTCATTTTACAAAAAATTTTGTTTTATTTACACAAGGTCCTATAACATTTGAAATATTTNACTAATGGTTTATAAAATTGTAAAGGATCAAAGTCTTTCATGCAACATTCGCATTTGTTAGTATTCATTTTACAAAAAATTTTGTTTTATTTACACAAGGTCCTATAACATTTGAAATGTTTATTTTTTCCACAAGTATTTCATTGTAGATGTGTAAGTACTATTAATAGCGAAATATTTCTATCAAGTTCAAGTGTCTGTAACAAGATCTAAATTGTAAGTCTATGGCAACCAAAAGATTGCTTGAAAGCAAGAACAAGCGTTAGAAAAATTTATATATAGTTATTTATATATATTTCTGCATGTAGCAACTGGAAG